CCTCATTTGCACAATTACTTTTTATTTTTATCCTCTTCACCACTGATCGGTTTTTTAGCCGCGTGGGCGGTTGGTCACCTCCCTGTTACACACTGTTGGCTAGTACTGGATATGAACTGGCTCCAAAATTGATCGGAACCTGCTCCAGTGTTGGTCAAGTCTGGCCTTGAAAGAGCTCACACTCGGTGCTGCACAACACTCTGGCAGATTGTTCCAAGAGTTCTCAATTCTCACTCTGAAAAAGTTTGCCCTCACTGTTTTCTGGACTTGTGGCTTTTTCAACCTTGAGAAGTGACCCCTTGTAGGGCGGGCGTCCACCAGCCCCAGGTATGTACAGTCCCTTCACTCGTGTGTTTACAGGGCTTCATCACAATTATAAACATTCTACAAATCAATATCCTTGAAATATTTGTTTGATAAGGTTTTAATTTAATTTCATAGTATGTTTATTATTGCTAGTTTCCTTCTGTCGAATGTAAACAAACAGCTCTGCCACACCATCATAAAACCTAACGTGCCCTTGTAAACGCACTAATGAAGGGGACTATAACCGAATAGTGCCTTGAGAGTGAAGTGCTTCCCCATTTGGAGTAATGTCACCCCGTCTTTTCCCCGAGATATGCTAGGGACTGTCAGTTGGTTGAAAATGTTCAAAGGAGTTCCACCAGACTGGTGCCTGCACTTCGGCACCTCAGCTACCCTGAGAGATTAGAGCGCCTGAACTTGCCTAGCTTATACTACACAGGGCAAGGGGGCGATCTAATTGAGTGTTGTGACGGCACCGAGTGTGAGCTCTTTCAAAACCAGACTTGACCAACACTGGAGCAGGTTCAGGTACATTCAGGAGCCGGTGCATGCCCAGTACTTGCCAACAGTGCGTGATAGAGACGTGGCCGATCGCCCGACGGCTAACGAGCCGATCAGTGGTAAGAGATAAAAGTAAAAAAGTATACACTTCAATTAGGTCGCCCCGTGCCCGTCTGTAGTATAAGTAAGGTCTCAATTGTTTCTCTTACTTTGCCAACACAATATATATAATTTCTCACTCTTGATTTGTTTTATTTTTCCATTTCTGCATTTATTTGTGTTTTTCTTGTGGGTCGGTGGCATGTGCTTTGGTGGGCTAATCCCGTAAAAAAAAAACATAATACAGTATATCTATATACTGTATATTAAGGTGATGACGTCAGTGTTCACAAGGGAACACCCACAATGCTGCCGTGTGCTCCAGAGGACCACTGGTAATGTCAACTCTATATTGCCAGATATACAAGTCTCCATTAACATTAAACAGTGAGGTGTATAGTCAGGACACGACAATTTGTATGAACTCAAATTAAAGACCCAATCAAGAATAATTTTGTACGGCGCTAAGTGAATGGCGGCCAACACACCTCCAGGTTATAAGGTCACTCATAGTCATGAGTTCCAGCACAAGACTCGTCTACACGCAATACTGGAAATTACATGACTTAAAGCTTTATATCGTGTGTCGCAGTGGCCACGCTGTGCTATATCGCTGCCTGGAAACTGCCAGGCTTCTTAAAGCTCACCAATCAGCGCTGTACCTCTGTGTGGGCATGATCGACAGTGGTCTTTCACGGCATAGTGAGTCAGTGACCTACTCCCGATCTCACCACGTGTTACTGAGGTTAATTTTGATAATGTTTACTGCGTCTTGGGGTCTATTGGGCTCTAACGACAGACTTAAGAACATTATTATGATATAATAAACAAATATATTTTAGGACAAGAAATATCAGGGAGAAAATAGACGAGTTAGTTTTGGAAAACTTATGTTTTGGTCCCAAACCTCTGAGCGGTCCACAGCGGCGACCAAATCATAACAAAAACTAGTCACTATAAATCTCAAAAACATTACAATCAAAAACAGTTAGGGTAACTAGTTTATCTTATTATTTTATCTGACATTGTTAGACCGATATATCGTCACAAGCAACTTAATGTTATTGGATAAATAATTCCTTCACTTGGGATAGTCAGACAATTTCGTAACTTGTTAATCAACTTGGAATTATCAATTAAACAACTTTTATCGCTTGGTATAATTTGATAAACTGTGGGTCATTCGTCAAACAACTTATCTAACCTGGTATTATTACACAAACAAATCTAACCTGGTATTGTTTATAACAAAAATCCTAGAACTGTACACAAACAACTTCTCTCATCCGGTATTCTTAGACAAACAAAATGGAAGGTTAAAAAAAACTCACCTGGAATCTGTAATCTGAAGCTCGGGTGTCTCTCAGCAGCGTTGGAGTTGGACCTTGGGTGTGGTTGTGAGAGGGATTGAGTGCGAGATAGCTCTGAGCGGAGTGAGAGGTGAGAGGAGCCCGGTGACACAGCTGACCCACTCTCCGTGAAGGAACACATGGAGTTGACCGAGAGGGTGACCATCTCAGGCCCTCCCTGCTCGCTCTGGATGCTGTCTGACCGTGAGAACTGACCCATGGGGGGAGATACACGGGTGAGAAAGTGTGTGTGGGAGAGAGATAAGAGAAACAAGAGAGGCGGAGGCAAAGAATACTGTATACACGAAGTTGAATTACATAGTCACTATCTCCGAATCTCTTTGCTGGCTCTGGCTGTGAGAAATTAACCAGATAGAAAGATAATGAGAGAGAGAGAGAGGATAAACTATCTCTATCCTCTCGGCCTCCTGCATGCCGCCCAACTGTGAGTAGGCTAGGTACTAGTAACTAGACCCAGAAATACTGTCGTAGACTTAAAAAAGTTCTAAGACACGAATCATCGTTCACACACGGGAATTTAAAACTATGTAGCTACTGTACGTTGGGATTCTTAAATAATAATAATAATAATAATATAATAATAATAATAATAATAATAATAATAAAGAATGGTGGAGTAGATATGGAACCAATATTGTGTTGGAACTGTCGCGCCGCCATCACTCACCTCGGACGGATGACAGCAGCTGCCATTACAACGTTGAATATACCGCGCTGCTCTTTTATCTTTACATCCTGACACCAACAAAACGCACCTTCAAACTTTGTTTAAATCTGTTATAAAATGAAATTTTTAAGAGAACACTCGGCACTCGGTACTTACGTCATCGCATATTTTGTTCACACATTGGCAAACTTTATGTTAACTATAACAACTACAAAACAAAAAAGACAATCAAGGTACACGGTTCATATAACAAATACAAATAAAACAAAAATACTTCCAAATTAATTAAACTTTTACAAAACACTAATAATTTTGTGATAAACATCAGTTTCAAAAACGTAGAACTATAGGAAAAATATAAACTTTAATATGAAGACATAATTATGCACTGCCATTATCAATAATAATTAATATAATCGAGAAAAAAAGGATATTATACATATTGAGAGAAGTACGTGAAACGATTTTATAACGAATAAGTTAAATAAAAATCAGCTAACCATAAAACAATAAAACAAACCGGTAAATGATAAACAATAAAACCTGTATTGAAAAATAAACAAATCAAGCTAACCTGTAAACAATAAACAAAATCCAGCTAACCAGTAAAACAATAAACAAACTCCAGCTAACCTGATAAACAGTAACCAAAAACTCCTGTCAGTAAACAATACTGACATAATAAACTCAGCCAGTAAATACAGCTAACGTAAACAATAAAAACAAACTCCAGCTAACCCACAAACAACAAACTCCAGCTAACCAAAAACAAAAAAACTTCAGCTAACCAGTAAACAATAAACAAACTCCAGCTAACCAGTAAACAATAAACAAACAGACCGGTAGAGCTCACATATTCCATTACAGTAGTACCCAAAAAATTTGTTTCATTCGCCAATGCACAGAAGAGAACGGCTTTATTGTTCCTGGCCCGGCGGCATGCTGTGAGGACCACTTACCAACCTCTCGTGCTACTACTGTCACCACTACCCCTCTCTGATGCTACTATCTGCCACCACTACCCCCTCTCTGATGCCACTACCTGCCACCACTACCCCTCTCTGATGCTACTATCTGCCACCCTACCCCCTCTCTGATGCCTGTCACCACCCCTCATGCTACTATCTGCCACCTACCCCTCTCTGATGCCACCACCTGCACCACTACCCCTCTCTGATGCTACTATCTGCCACCACTACCCCTCTGATCCACACCTGCTCACCCACCACTACCCCCTCTGATGCTACTACTCTGCCACCACCCCCTCTCTGATGCCACTACCTGTCACCACTACCCCTCTCTGATGCTTCTCACCCACCACCCCTCTCTGATGCCACTACCTGCCACCACTACCCCTCTGATGCCACCTGCCCACCACTACCCCCTCTCTGATGCCACTACCTGCCACCACTACCCCTCTCTGATGCTACTATCTGCCACCACTACCCCATCTCTGATGCTACTACCTGCCACTACCCCTCTCTGATGCCTACCTCACCCTACCCCTCTCTGATGCTACTACCTGCCACCACTACCCTCTGATGCTACTATCTGCCACCACCACCCCTCTGTGCTACTATCTGCCACCACTACCTCCTCTCATGCCACTACCTGCCACCACTACTCCTCTCATGCCACTACCTGCCACCACTACCCCTCTCTGATGCTACTACCTGCTCACCACTACCCCCTCTCTGATGCTACTACCTGTCACCACTACCCCTCTCTGATGCTACTATCTGCCACCACCACCTCTCTGATGCTACTACCTGCCACCACTACCCCCTCTGATGCACTACCCACCACTACCCCTCTCTGATGCCACCACCTGTCCACAACCCCTCTCTGCTGCTACCTACCCACCACTACCCCCTCTCTGATGCTACTACCTGCCACCACTACCCCCTCTCTGATGCTACTATCTGCCACTATCCCCTCTCTGATGCTACTACTGCCACCACTACCCCTCTCTGATGCACTACCTGCCACCACTACCCCCCTCTGATGCCACACCACCTACTTCTGATGCACTACCCCACCCTGCCCCTCTCATTCTACCTGTCACCACTACCCCTCTCTGATGCTACTACCTGCCACCACTACCCCTCTCTGTCACCCTACCTGCCACCACCCCTCTCTGATGCCTACCTGCCACCCTACCCCCTCTGATGCACACCTGCCCACCCCTCCGATGCTACCATCTGCCACCACTACCCCTCTCTGATGCTACTACCTGCCACCACCCCTCTCTGATGCCACTACCTGCCACCACTACCCCCTCTCTGATGCCACTACCTGCCACCACTACCCCCTCTCTGATGCCACTACCTGCCACCACTACCCCTTTCTGATGCCACTACCTGCCACCACTGCCCCCTCTCTGATGCCTACCTGCCACCACTCCTCTCTGATCTACTATCTGCCACTACTCCTCTCTGATGCCACTACCTGCCACCACTACTCCCTCTCTGATGCCACTACCTGCCACCCACTACCCCTTTCTGATGCCACTACCTGCCACCACTGCCCCCCTCTCTGATGCCACTACTGCCACCACTACCCCCTCTCTGATGCTACCATCTGCCACCACTACCTCCTCTCTGATGCCTACCTGCCACCACTACCCCCTCTCTGTGCTACTACCTGTCACCTACCCCTCTCTGATGCTACTATCTGCAACCCTACCCTCTTTTGATGCCACTACCTGCCACCACTACTCTCTGATGCCACTACCTGCCACCACCCCTCTCTGATGCTACTATCTGCCACCACTACCTCTCTGATGCCACTGCCACCACCACCCCTCTCCATTACTACCTGCCACCACTACCCCTTTCTGATGCCCACTACCTGCCACCACTACCCCCTCTCTGATGCCACTACCTACCACCACTACCTCCTCTCTGATGCTACCATCTGCCACCACTACCCCTCTCTGATGCCACTATCTGCCACAACTACCCCCTCTCTGATGCCACTATCTGCACCACTACCCCCTCTCTGATGCCACTATCTGCCACCACCCCTCTCTGATGCACCACTACCTGTAACCACAACCCTCTGAAGTGCCAGTATCTGCAACCACTACCCCTCTGTTGCCACTATCTGCCACCACTACCCCCTCTCTGATGCCACGACCTGTAACCACAACCCTCTGATGCCACTATCTGCCACCACTACCCCTTTCTGTGACCTGTCCACCACAACCGTCTGACACCACTATTTGCCACCACTACCCCCTCTCTGATGCCACTACCTGTCACTACAACCCTCTGATGCCACTATCTGCCACTACTACTACCCCTCTGCTGCCACTACCTGTCACCACAACCCTCTGATGCCAGTATCTGCAACCACTACCCCTCTGTTGCCACTATCTGCCACTATTACCCCTCTCTGATTCCACTACTTACCACCACCACTACCCCATTGTGATGCCACTACCTGTCACCACTACCCCTCTCTAATGCTACTACCTACACACTTACCTCCAATAGCACTACCTACCAACACTCAGGCCTACAGATCCACATTCATATAACTGATGAGCTGCCTTAATATGTATAAAATAGTTATAACAATTACTTTTTTTAATGCGCTTGTGATGATAGTAATAAAGGTGTTTAAAATTTGATGACAATTATTTTTAGCATTTAGTTGGTATTAGTACAGCAAATATCTTGGTCATAATTTTGTGGTATCTGAGGGAGCACTTGTAAGCTTCATCCAATCAGCTTATAAGAGGCTGTTGTGTCGTCCAATGAGACCAAATGTGTCGTTCAAGCGGTGTTCATTAACAATTTCGCCAAACAACAGATAAGTTTGTTCCTCGACTCTGTCATATACGAAGCTCCATAAACATCACTGTAAAAAATATCAAGTCCTCGGATTATTAAAATATTCTTTATTTCCACAAAGAAAGACGTACAATATGGACTAGCTTTTGAAGAGGATTTGTTTTAGAGGGGGCAGCAGGAGGGGGCGCGGGTGGACAAAGGCGACACAATACCACCCTCAGAAAAAGGCCAAATTTTCACGGTTTCAATAGGACGGACCCTCCTCTCCTCTCCTCCCCGCTGGTGACAACTATGACACATCAGCTGGCAGCAGAGTCAACCTCACCGCTTTTATTTTGTGTTTGTATATTAAAAAGGCCTTCATCTGTTCAGGTTTGAGTTGAACATTTATTCAGTAAATTCGTCATACAAGTTCATATTGGTATACTATGTACATAGGCACTACAGGTACACAAACAATTATAAGCAGTACGTCGATTTAACCAAGAGAGCACAAAGCAAAGATGTTAAAGTATATTTCCATGTGTCCTTCATATTTATATATCGAAACAATATTATTTTTCGTTTTTGACATATCTGAAAACTAAAACATTCTTCTTCATTTAGTTTTCACCTCAATTCTCCAAGAAAAAACAAATAAATTCAGAAAGACAAAAATTCTCACGCTCTTGTAACAAATGAAATAGTTTACCCCAAATAAGTCTGATAATCTTTAAAACACCGTGGAGTTGGGGCGGAAAGCAGTCTGGATTTGAGTATT